AGAATCAAAGAATGGAGTTCCATTACATCTGGTCTTATTTTCTTAAACTCTACTGTTTGTGATTTTCCGAATTTTTCAAAATACGATCGTGGGCATTAGTTAGATGAAACAAGGTGAACAATGCAAATTAGTAACTGTTATGATGCTTGTTTGATGTTTCTGAACCACTCTCTAACTGGTTCCGGAGTAACTGCAGCGTATTCAAATTGAGGGAATTCAAAAAGATTCATGGTTCCGCAAGCATTATGTGCCTGTGAAACCTAGAGAAGAAGAAGTGAATTTGGATGATGTCCTAGCAGTTTTTGATGATATTGAGGTGGGGAATTTGTTCTTTTTTTTCCCTTCGTATTATTACTCTTCTTAGCCTATGAGATCTGATGTTAGCTTATGTATTTTTTATTTTTTCATGTCAACACTAATGGTTATTATTAGAGTAGATCATGTTAATGCATCCTGATTGCCTTGAGAACCCTTTTCTCTGGATTTTTGTTCTGTTCTGTGCCATTATTCTCTTTGCTGAGCAGTTACCGGTACTTCGCAGGACCAATTTGTATCCGAGAAGCCCTTAGTCAATGAGGGGGGTCCCCTGATAATGAATTCATTTGAGATGATTACGCTATCCCAAGGCTTGAATCTGTCTGCATTATTTAACAGGCAACAGGTACAGCAAACATGTCAGTATTTTCTGCTCCTGTATAGAATCTTAGTCCTTGTTGAGTTGTTGTTTGTAGTTAAAATTGCTCATACTTTTGTGGTTTCAGAAGTTAGCATTCCCAGTATTTTATCTTTTGTATTATTCTTCACTTCAAAGAATGGTCAATTCTATCTCTCACTTTGTCATGGTTCTTGGTTGGTTATTGCTTGTACTTTTGTTGCTTTTCTTGCTTGCTTTAAATATGAAGAAAAGCATATTGAGTTTCTATCTACTTGCATACCGTTCAGGAAATGAGAAAGGGTTGGTGGGGTGATCTTCTCTTCTCCCTTTTTTATGATCTCAATGCCTGTCTATGTTGTTTGCTGATAACTTCTTTTGGAGAATGAGATGTATATACTGTTTAATGCTATTTTGTACGATCTTTTTTTGGTAGGATTATGTAAAATGGCAAACTCGTTTTGTATCACGCAAACCAACTACAGTTATAATCTCAAGTGTTGAAGCTGTTGCTGAATCAATGGGACTGAAGGTTCATACACGTAATTACAAGGTATGACATATCTTCCTTACAAAATTCAGTTGGTTCATTACGAATATGCTTTAGAGAGGGTTGTCCACAAAATGAAGCAATTTTATCTTTTTACTCCAATTGTTTTCTTTTTTCTTCTAAAGATAAAAACAAGCTAGGCATAGGCTAACATGCTGATAGAGAAGCACCGACATGGCTTCTTTGTGATAGGCACCTTACTAATTCTAAATTTGAATACTTCTCGAAGGAACTTTCAGAAATAATTCGGTTAAGCTAATACCAGCTACTGAGGATTTGAAGCCAGATATTAGATACCTGTCCACTTTTTGTGATAATAACATTAATGGAAAAGGTTAAATGAAGAAACAACACTGTTTAGGTTACTTGAACTTTCTGTTCTTAGCAATATATATGGGACACCCTACTGTCTGAGCGGGATCATGTGTCATATTGCAAAAGAACATCAGTGTATAAGTTTACTATATATTATATCATTTATTTCCCCTTAATTTCTGTTCTTTCCTTCCAACTGCAGACAAGACTTGAGGGAAGATATGCAAACAAGCATGGGCAATTTGCAGTGGTCCTGGAGGTAGACTCCTAGAACTCTTATCTCAATTGGTAATAAATGTGTTTTTACATTGGCAGGTTAATTTCAAGTCGACTTTTTTTTAGTTTTATGCATTACCATGAACAGTGGGATAGATAGATAAGTTTTCCCACAGGTCGTTGATATCTCCCCCTGTCTACTTCCTCTCCATCTTCATTATTTCCAAGTTTCAGATTGAATTCCATCGGGGTCTCTATAGGTTTGCAACCTAACATGCCAGTATCCTTCAGTAAATCTAGGACATATTTTTGTTGAGAGATAGAGATACATGTTCGAGACCTTGCTACTTCCATTCCAAGGAAGTATTTTAGATTTCCCAAGTCCTTAAGCTCAAATTCAGTGATAAGGAACTCTTTTAGGCATCCGATTTCATTCGAATCATCTCCTGTTAGAATGATATCGTCAACATATACTATAAGGATGAAGCATTTACCTTCCTTTGAATGCTTGTAGAACATGGTATGGTCAGCCTGTCCTTGGGTATATGCCCTGCTGGTCATAGCCTTGGCAAATTGACTAAACCAGGCTCTTGGGGACTACTTCAACCCATATAGTGATTTCTTTAACCTGCATACCCGACCTTTTTCTTCTTCGAATCCTGGTGGAAAGTCCATATACACTTCCTCGACCAATTCACCATTTAGGAAGGTGTTTTTAACATCCAACTGAGTCAAAGACCAATCAAGATTTGCAACAAGTGACAGAAGAACCTGAATAGTATCAACTTTGGCAACAGGTGCAAAGGTCTCATCATAGTCGAGCCCATATGTCTGAGTGAATCCCTTTGCCACAAGTCGAGCCTTGTGCCTGTCAATATTTCCATCAGTTTTGAATTTGGTGGTGAAAATCCATTTGCAGCCTACTGTTTTTTTCCCTTTAGGCAGATCCGAGATTTCCCATGTTCCATTGTTTTTTAGAGCATTCATTTCTTCCATTACATCATGTTTCCATTCGGGTGATTCAAGAGCTTCCTTCACATCCCTTGGATGTTTTACATGGTCAATATTTGTCACAAAGTTTTTGTATGACTTGGATAGATTTCCATAAGAAACAAACCGAGAGATAGGGTGTTGGGTGCAGGTCCTTACACCTTTTCGAATAGCAATTGGGAGATTAATAGATGGAGAATTAAGAATTACCTCTGTTGTAGAACAGTCTACGGTTGTAGATGAATTTGGCACTGCTATGTTAGCTTCTGGAGAGTAATGATGCCTTGAATAAACCCGGAGTTCAGGAGCACAGAGTTGCTGAGTTTCAGGAGCAAGTTGTGGAGCAAGCTGTTGTTGTTTCTGCAGACTAGGATCATCATTGTGCCGCTGGGAAGGGGGCTGCTGTGAGGGGATTATGAGGATGTCATTTGTATGAAAGTTTTGTGGTATATTAGGATCGGGTGGTGGAGTAATAAGGAGGGTATTGAGGTTCTCATCTTCATTGAGAATCTCTCCTTGAAGATGAGTTGCTGAAAAATATGCTTCTATTTCAAAGAAGGTTACATCTCGGGAAACAAATGCACGATGCAAAGTAGGTAACATTTGTACCCTTTTTGCGTAGGGGAGTAGCCAATAAAAACACAAGTATGAGCACGAGAGTCAAGTTTAGATAGGTTGAGTTGATGGCTATGGACAAAGGCTTTGCACCCGAGTAATTTAACCGGTAAGGTAGGAACATGAAAAAGAGGGAAAGTTTTTTGAAGGGTATTTAGAGGTGTTTGAAATTTAAGGACTTTGGATGGCATTCGGTTGATTAGGTAGCATGCGGTAAGAACAACCTCTCCCCATAGGTATCTTGGGTTATTTGTGGTAAACATTAGGGCTGAGCAACATTTAATAGGTGCCGATTTTTCCTTTCTGAAAGTCCATTTTGTTGTGTGTTTGGATAAGAGCTTTGGTGTATGATGCCTTGTTTTGTAAGGCAAGGACTTAAAATCGAGTTGAAGTACTCTCTTCCATTATCAGTGCGGAGCGTTTGTATGGTGGAATTGAATTGGTTATAATCGTTGAATGAGAATTTTGGAATACTTTGGGTGTTTCGGACTTTTCTTTGCGGAGATAAACCCAACAAACTCTAGTATGATCATCAATAAATGTTGTAAACCATCTAGCCCCCGTAATATTTTTCACTCGGCTAGCCCCCCCATAGATCACTGTGTATTAAGGAAAAAGGTTTGGATTGGATGTAAAGTTTTAATGTATAAGGAATACGAGTATGTTTTGAAAGTTGCCAGATTTCACAATTTAGGGATTTTGGATTTTTATTTCAAAATAACAATGGAAGTAAATACTTCACGTGCAAGAAGTTTGGATGTCCTAGCCTTTTGTGTCACTGCCACATCATAATTCTGTCCTCATGTGAAGCAGATAACGCCAAACTTCCTTTTTTATTGTTGTCGCGATCGTCTTTCGGGTGGGCCCAGAATCGGGCTTCAACTTGAATGAAATGGTTAGAGTCGTCACCGATCATTTTAAAAACAAATTTTAGGTTGATCGTACACCATCTTACCTGATTTGCGTTTTACTAGAAATGTGTCGAGTTCGAGAGTTTGTTACAGACAAGGAAGGATTAACACCTTTGTACTGCCCTTTAGGTACCAATTAATTTGTCAGTTGTCTTAATTGCGAAAATTAAAATTAAAAATTAAAAATCCGATTCAAATAACTTACCTTCGATTGATTAAAAATTCCCCTAAAAAGTCAAGAATATTGTTAGATTGTAAAATAAAAAAATAAATATGAAAAAAATAAAAAATATTAATATAATAATAATAAAATAAATAAAATACATAGATAAAGATAAATAAAATTGAGTAAGAAAAAATAATAAAAAAAAGGATTAAATTTTGAAATTAAAAAAACATAGAAAATGTTAAGAAAATAAATATTAACAAAAAAACCAAAACATAAATAAAAAAATGATCAAATTGAATTAAATTAGAACTTATTGACTGAAATTAATGTTAAAAGTGAACTGCAAGAGAAAAAAGATTAGGGAGTTAGATTGGCAATAATCAAAGTTAAACATCAAAATTAAATTACAAAGAAATGCATCAAAGATAGGGGGACCAGAAGAAGAATTTTACCACAATATTTGAAGGGCTATGAAAGAAATTACCCATAATAGTTGAAGGACCATAGGGAGTGTTTACCCAAGGTTCAAAACCATGTGGGTTTATTTTGTTTTCACGCACAGAAGCTAAAAGTTGGCTAAAAGTTACTGGTTCAAGTAATAAACTATCCAAGTTTCAGCAATGGAATTTCAAGTCATAACTGAGGTATGGATTTCGCTAGGATGAATTGTTTAAGTAAAGCTTTCTCTTCATCGAGCCGCTTCTTCTCTTCGAGATATTTCGGTTTGACTTTCCTTTTCTCTTCTAATATATATTTAAAAAGTTCATGTTGCTGACTCTCTGGAATCAGTTCAATCACCTTTAAATACCGTGTGACGGGTGGTGCAGGTAATGAGGTTTCGGTAACAGGAGGAGCGACAGTTGTAGTTGAAACAAGAGGACTCGAATCAACATCTTCTCCTGTTATGCTCAAGTCATTTTTCTTCGTTCTAATGAAAAGATAAGCTCCAACAGTAAAGTTAACAGCCAAAATAAGAGGCCAAAGGAACTTGTAACGCCTTACAAAAGACTCCCTTGGAGGTTGAAGTGGCGGCGACTGACCCATTGTATATGATGTTGCTACACCTGATGATGTTGAAGGAAAATCATTTCCTTTCTGTTGCTTCTGAAATTGCTTCAATTGAGCTTTATTGGGTTTGTGATAGTAGAGCTTTGGACATTCGCTCATTGTTGAGATTCATTTTCCGCTAAAGCTTCGATCTTTCTCTGCTCTCCCCGTTTTTGCTTTCTCCCTCACTGCCCCCTCCCCCATGTATCAAGATGCCTCCTTGATTTATTTATGGTTGTATGCATATGGTAGTGGTGGAGTAGGATTAGTGGTAGGGTAGGTTTTTTAGTGGTGAGATGAGGGTAGTGGTGAGATGATGATAGTGGTTAGGTTTGATTATTTTTCTAACTTACAGAACGTGGGGTGACTGAAATTTGCTTTTGGAAAAGCTCTCAAATTACAATAGGTACAATTACAAGTTTGGTCCTTGCACTTTGTTACCTCTTTAATTCTCGGACAAAATTAGGGTATTACAGCTGCCCCTCTTTGCTCGTCTGTTGTGTAAATAACGACGAAGCAAAGACAAAATAATGGCCTAATTTTCGTCTGGAGCTCCAATTCTTTGTCTGAAAATCAGAGGATTTGAAGAAGACATTGTTCCTTCATATTGAGGACGGCAGACCATCTTTAAAGATGATAACACGGTTCCCACGTGATGAGGACGGCTGGTTATCTAAGGTTGACGCGGCTCCTACGTAATGAGGAGATCTGGTCGGTAGATGACAATGTTTGTTGTGACACTAAGTCGATCCATTGGGCACGATATCCTTCTTCGTGAAGTTGAAATCGTGGGTGGCTCCTTCGTCGTGAAGTTGAGTTTTGAGTTGGATATCATTCGTTGTGAAGTTGAAATCCAATCATTGTTTCAACAAATTGGCTTTGAGTTGAATATCATTCGTTGTGAAATTGAAATCTAATCTTAAATATTGCTTCACCAAATTGGCTTTGAGTTGGATATCCTTCGTTGTGAAGTTGAAATCCAATTTTGAGTAAGTTGCATTCTTTGAGTTCAATATCATTCGTTGCGAAGATGAAATTGACTCTAGCATGAATCTGCAAAATTATGCTCATATGAGATGCTATGGATGTAATGCTCTTATGTGTGCCTAAAATGTATGTGAAATATGTTATTTTAGGATTTGGAGAGAAATCTCAATCTCTGGTTGTCAGTTTTGATGGCTCTTGAATCTGATTCTTGATCTTGGATTCTTCAACATGCTTAAATCCGATGTACAAAATGTTGATATGTGAAGTGAATGGTTGCGTGAGCAGTCTTCATTCTACCCCTGACTCAATTTGTCTTCATTTCCACCAGAGTGTACTCTTGCAAACCTCAACCTCAAGTGTGGCTACCATGCATTTGATATGCCCTCGAGTTGAATGAGATCAAACTCGAAAGTTTTTGTTGACAGATAAGCCTTCTCGCCTTGAGTTATGCTGTAAACTTAACTGAGAGATAGTCATTTGTCACTAAAACACAGCTAACCCAGGTCTTCTTGAGTTAAAGATCCCAGTTTAAACTTTAACCGGAAAGTAGTTGATACGTCATCGAGCTGAATGGAATCGAACTCGAAAGTTTTCATTGACAAATAACACTTCTCGCCTTGAATTATGTTTTACTAAGCTAAGAGATTGCCTCAGAACTTCTTGACTTAAAGACCTCGGCTTCAACCGAAAAGTAGTTCCTCGATGTTACTATGTGATTGATGTGTTGTCGAGCTGAATGGAATCGGACTCGACAGTTTTTTGTTGACAGATAGCCCTTCGTATTGAGATATACTGTAAATTTGACATGCCCTTGAGTTGAATGGAATCGAACTCGAAGGTATTTGTTGACAGATAACCCTTCTCGCCTTGAGTTATGCTGTAAATTTGATATGTCCTTGAGCTAAATGTAATTGAACTCGAAGATTTTTATTGACAGATAACCCTTCTCGCCTTGAGTTATACTGTAATACCCTAATTTTTTCCGGGAATTAAAGAGGGAACAAAGTGCAAGGACCAAACTTGTAATTGTACCTATTGTAATTTGGGGGCTTTTCCAAAAGCAAATTTCAATCACCACACGTTCTGTAAGTTGGAAAAATAATCAAACCTAACCACTATCATCATCTCATCACTACCCCACCACTAAAAAACCTACCCTACCACTAGTCCTACTCCACCACTACCACATGCATACAACCATAAATAAATCAAGGAGACATCTTAATACTGAGGGGAGAGGGCAGTGATGGAGAAAGCAAAAACAGGGAGAGAAGAGAAAGATCGAAGCTTTAGCGGAAAAAGAATCTCAACAATGAGCGAAGATCTAAAGCTCTACTATCACAAACCCAATAAAGCTCAATTGAAGCAATTTCAGAAGCAACAGAAATGAAAGGATTTTCCTTCAACTTCATCAGGTGCAGTAACATCATATACAATGGGTTAATCGCCGTCAACTCAACCTTTAATGGAGTCTTTTGCAAGGCGTTACAAGTTCCTTTGTCCCTTTTTTTGGTTGTCAACTTTTCTGTCGGAGTTTATCTTTTCATGAGAACGAAGAAAAAGGACTCGAGCATAACCGGAGAAGATGTTGATTCGAGTCCTCTTGTTTCAACTGTAACTGTCGCTCCTCCTCTTGTTATCGAAACCTCATTACTTGCACCACCCGTCACACGGTATTTGAAAGTGATTGAACTGATTCCGGAGAGTCAGCAACATGAACTTTTTAAATATATATATTGGAAGAGAAAAGGAAAGTCAAACCAAAATATCCCAAAGAGAAGAAGCGGCTTGATGAAGAGAAAGCTCTACTTAAACAATTCATCCGAGCGAAATCCATACCTCAGTTATGACTTGAAATTTCATTCCTGAAACTTGGTTAGTTTGCTACTTGAACCAGTAACTTTTAGCCAACTTTTGGCTTCTGTGCGTGAAAACAAAATAAACCCACATGGTTTTGAACCTTGGGTAAACTCTCCCTATGGTCCTTCAACTATTATGGGTAAATTCCTCCATAGCCCTTTAAATATTGTGGAAAAATTCTTCTTCTAGTCTCCCTATCTTTGATGCATTTCTTTATAATTTAATTTTGATATATAACTTTGATTATTATCAATCTAACCCCCTAATTTTTCTCTCTTGAAGTTCACTTTTAGCATTAATTTCAGTCAATAAATTCAAATTTAATTCAATTTGATCCTTTTTTATTTATTTATGTTTCGATTTTTTGTTAATATTTATTTTCTTAACATTTTTCTATGTTTATTTTTTTATTTCAAAATTTAACCTTTTATTATTATTATTTTTTATTGCATTTTTTATTTTTTTCTTACTCAATTTTATTTATCTTTATCTATATATTTTATTTATTTCATTATTATTATTATATTAATATTTTTTATTCTTTTTTCAGATTTATTTTTTTTTATTTTACAATCTAACAATATTCTTGACTTTTTAGGAGAATTTTTAATCAATCGAAGGTAAGTAATTTGAATCGGGTTTTTAAATTTTAATTTTCGCAATTAAGACAACCGACAAATTAATTGGCACCGAAAGGGAAGTACAAGGGTGTTAATCCTTTCTTGACTGTAACCGACTCTCGAACCCGACACATTTCTGGTAAAACGCAGATTTGATAAGATGGTGTCCGATCAACCTAAAATTTGTTTTTAAAATGATCGGTGGGACTAACCATTTCATTCAAGTCGAAGCCGATTCCAGGCCCACCCGAAAGACAGTCGCGACAACTTGTCTACTCTGTTGGGGATGCTGGCTAGGGTTCAAAAACCCTAGATGCTTCATGTTGGGCCGGTTCGAGTCTGAACCGGGTCTTGGGTCGGGGCTCCATTTGGATCTGGGCTGCAATTGGGTTTGGGTGTGTAATGGGTCAGCGTGTAGCACTTTCATTTGGGCTTTGGGCCTGGCACATGTAAAAATAAATATAAATATATGTCCTATATTATATAATATAATTGTAATGTCATAAACCAACATAAATATATTATATAACGATATGAACATAATAATATAAACCGAATCGAGCCGGACGAAATTAGGTGTCTACAATTGTCTTTATTCCATATGTAGAGTCCATCATCAACCTTAGTAGTGCCAATCATCTTCCTCGATTTCTGTTCCTGTAAAACACAACCACGAGTAGAAAATTCAACAAGAGTAGCATTATCCTCAATTAGTTTACTAACTGATTGTAAATTGCAGGATATATTTGAGACATGTAAGACTTTGTCAAGAGAGTTTTTCAGTGAGTTGAATTGCCCCAGTTCTAGCAACAGGCGAGTATGAACCATCAGCTATTCGGATACGAGATTGATTGTGACAGGGGATGTAGCTGTGGAACAGGGATGAGTTACCTGTCATGCGGTCGGAGACACCTAAATCCAAGATCCAATCGGATTGATTAGTTTAATCCGAAGTAATATTAAAAGCAGTACCTTGAATAGCCAAGGATCCATGAGCAGTGGATGTTTCAAGTATCTTGTGTAGGGCTTCAAGTTGAGATTTGATTAGGCGGACATCCAAGGTATTTTCTGTAGAGGATGAAGTGTTGGATGATACAAGAGCCTTTGTCTCTTTCTGAATTTTTTTGCTTCCAGGGTATCCATGGAGTTTGAAGCACTTTTCTCTCGTATGACCAGTGCGGTTGCAGTGGCCACACCAAGGTCGTTCTCTTGTTCGACTTTGGCCTGCATCACTCCTCTTTTGGAATTGAGGACCCCTAGATACAAGGGCTGAGGTTTCAACAGGACGATGTCCAGTGGTAGTCACTGGTTTTGGGTCCTTATTATCTCCCATCATAACTCGATGACAATTTTAGGCAGAACTCCTCTTCCTACCATTGGTGAAGCTTTTGCAGAAGTTCGAAGAGAGGAAAATTGTCATCGAGTTAATTTCTCCATTGATATATCCTAATTTCCCACGGCCTCAAATAACCATTAGAACTGATTGAGACCACTGTAGGAAATTTTTTCCATCTAAACGGTGGTTGGTGATTATAAGAGAGGAACTCATGTCACCAAGAGGGATTGGTTGATTTATGTTTTGGGTAACATGTGAGGTTTCAGATTCGGAAAAATTTTCTGGTTGTTCTGTCATAGGAAGAAAACAACGCAAGAACAATTTCTAGAGGAAGAGCAGAATAGGATCGAATGAGTCCTACAACTCTGATGCCATGA